CCCGTTCTGGGTTCGATTGGAGAATTTGCCTTTTAATAAACGATCTGATAGTATTGTTAGGGCAATTACATCATCTATGGGCGAAATTATGGAGATTGAACAGGACGATTTTGGACTGGACAAGTATAGGAGAGTGAAAATTAACCTTGACATATCAAAACCCTTGCGGAGATTCATAAACATGAGAGGGAAAGATGGTCGAGTGTTGCGCATTGAACTGAAATACGAACGGCTGCCATTCTTTTGCTTGATGTGTGGAGTGATTGGACATAGTGAAAAGGACTGCCTAAATTGCTCTGAGGATGAACAGAGCCCAGGGCATGGATGGAGTCTACGTCTTCGTGCTACTCCACGCAAAGGGAGACAAAAATTAATCGAGGAGGTTGAGGAGGTCAAAGCGTGCAGGAAGGTGCTATTTGTGCACAAACCAGAACCTGCCAGCAAGAGTGACCATATGGAGGGGCTGGAACTATCAACTGAGGAAGAAATTAAAGCTGGGGAAACAAATTTGTTGCATTCTGCTCACCTTCCTGAGGTGGAAGCAACTGCTACCCTTGAAAAGAATCCTCTGATTGATACTTCTTTGGAAGTAGGAAGTAATAGTAGTGGTGAGGTGGGCAATATGCCTGTCTTGATTGCTGCTAATCAATGCACCCCTCAATTTTCTTTTATGGCTGCTGCTGATTCCAGGAAAGATTTGGCTAAGAAGGGTGTGAAGATGCGAAAGGTGGGGAATAGTAGGACTGAAAGGAAAGCGGTAAGTGGTGACATTGTGTGTGGCAAGCGAAAGGAGTGCATCAAGGGTGACGAGATGGATGTTGATGAGATTACCAAACGAGCCCGAGTACATAGTACTTTGGTTCTTAATGAAGTAGCGGGTGTTGGCGAGTCCCAACCCCGCAAACAGCCATGAATCTTATATGTTGGAACTGCCGAGGGGTGGGCAACCCTCGCGCGGTTAAAGCACTCAAAAGGTGGTGCTCATATCATGCCCCGGAGGTACTCTTTATTTCTGAAACTAAAATTAATAAAATTGAGTCGAAAAATTTGAAAGACAAGCTTGGCTTTGAGTGTGCTATAGGTGTTAGTAGTATTGGTTTGGCAGGAAGGTTGTGTTTATTCTGGAAGAGTGAGCATGTCAATTTTTCACTAGTCTCATGTCACGGAACCATATTTGTGGTGACATAAAAGAACTTAGTGGCAAGTCTTGGAGGTTTGTAGGCTTGTATGGCTGGCCGGAGTCGGGAAATAAGTGTAAAACTTGGCACTTAATTCGGGAGTTATGCTCTTCTTTTGGAGGGCCTATTTTGATAGGGGGTGACTATAATGAAATCCTAAGCTATGAAGAAAAAGAAGGAGGGGCTGACTCGGTGAGAAGGGAAATTAGTGAGTTTCGTGCGGCTCTGGAAGAATGCAATCTTCCTGATCTTGGATACAATGGTCAGTGGTTCACTTGGGAAAGGGGTTCGACCGAAAGCACTATGATTCATGAACGCCTTGATAGGTTTTTGTGGCAATGAGGAATGGTTTAACCTTTTCTCTAAAGCTTCGGTTGAACATCTTGTTTGTGTTAAGTCCAATCACTCAGCGATCCTTGCTAGACTTAAGCGACCCAAGAAGAAACGCAGAAAAGGGAAGAAGAACTTTAAATTTGAAACGGCATGGCTCCTTGATGCCTCGTGTGATCAAGCAGTCCGTGAAGCTTGGGGGGAGTCTACTGGTCGTAACATAGCTAAGAGGATAGAGTGCTTGATGGATGCTCTTAGAAGGTGGGGTGGAAAGAAGTTTGAAAATTTGGAGAGGCAAATAGAGGATACGGAGAGAGCACTGAAAGAAGCGCAAGGTGGGGTGATTTCGGAGGATAATATCAAGCTTTGTTCGACTCTGGAAGCAAAGCTGGAAGATCTTGAACAAAAGCAAGAGGCATACTGGTACCTTCGTTCGAGAGTTTCTGATATTAGAGACGGTGACCGGAATACAAAATACTTTCATCATAAGGCTTCTCAACGTTGAAAAAGGAACAAAATCAAAGGACTTTTTGATGAGAATGGGGAATGGAAGAAGGAGGATGAAGACTTCGAGGACATTGCTCAACGTTTTTATGATAAGCTCTTTATGTCTTCTGAACTGTGCTTAATGGATGTAAATAGAGTCCTTGAGGCTGTTTCCCAGAAGATCTCTAATGATGATAATGCTTCCTTTTTGCGGCCCTACACTAAAGATGAAATCTATGCTGCTGTTTGTGCTATGCATCCCTGCAAAGCCCCGGGACCCGATGGACTTCATGCTATTTTTTATCAGAAATTTTGGCATGTGATTGGCAATGATGTGTTCCGTTTTGTCAGCAATATTCTCCATGGTACGTGCTCTGCTGAAGTAGTGAATAATACAAATATTTCTTTGATCCCAAAAGTCAAGTCTCCTATGTCTATGTCTGAGTTCTGCCCCATTGCTTTGTGTAATGTATTATACAAAATTGCTTCTAAGGCTATTGTGATGCGTCTTAAGTGTATTTTTCCAAATGTTATCTCGGAAAATCAAAGTGCATTTTTTCTGGGACGACTTATCACTGATAATGCCTTAATTGCAATGGAGATTTTTCATACGATGAAAAAACGGAGTAAGGGGAAGAAAGGGACTATTGCTTTAAAACTGGATATGAGCAAAGCGTATGACAGAGTTGAATGGTTTTTTCTGGAAAAATTGTTGCTCAAGATGGGTTTTGCAGAGAAATGGGTCAATCTTGTGATGGACTGTGTTTCGACAGTTTCATATTCTTTCATTATTAACCGTAATGTTACTGGTTCGGTTATTCCATCTAGAGGACTGAGGCAGGGGGACCCTTTGTCTCTGTATCTTTTTATAATGGTTGCAGATGCTTTTTCGGCCCTCATTGAAAAAGCCTCAGACCACAGATTAGTTCATGGAGCGGGCGCGAGTCGGAAAGGTCCAAAAATCTTTCATCTCTTTTTTGCTGACGATAGTTTGCTTTTTGCAAGGGCCAACCGAGAGGAATGCTCTAAGATAGTTGAAATTCTCAACTTTTACGAAGTAGCTTCCGGTCAGAAAATTAATTATGAAAAATCGGAGGTATCCTTTAGCAATGGCGTTGTGGTATCGAAACAAGAAGAGTTGGTTGATTTATTGAAAATGCGACTTGTCAACAAGCATGACAAGTATCTTGGTATTCCCTCTGTAATCGGAAGATCGAAGAGAATGGTTTTCACAACATTGAAAGATAGAATATGGAAGAAGCTACAGGGCTACAAAGAAAAACTTTTGTCGAGAGCGGGGAAGGAGATTCTTATTAAATCTGTCATTCAAGCCATACCGACTTACCTTATGGGTGTTTATAAGCTTCCTTCTAGTGTCATTGATGAGATGCGTTCTTTAACGACAAAATTTTTTTGGGGTAATTCGGATAGTAGGAGAAGAGTGCATTGGATTAATTGGGATGCCCTATGCAGACCAAAGTGTTTGGGTGGGCTGGGTTTTAGGGACTTGGCTGTGTTCAATGACACACTACTAGGAAAACAGGCGTGGAGACTCATCTCGAAGCCCGATTCTCTCCTTGGGCGAGTGATGAAGGGTAAGTACTACCCAAAATATGACTTTTTAGAGTCTTCTCTGGGGTTAAATTGCAGCTATTCTTGGCGAGGGATTTGGGATTCAAAGTCTCTAGTTAAAGAGGGTCTCATTTGGAGGGTGGGTAACGGTTCGAAGATAAAAATCTTTGAAGATCCCTGGCTGGCGGATGACAGTGGGAGGTTCACTACTACCCCTATGATTAATGGTATCACTATGGTAAAGGACCTGATTCATGAGAGTATTAAAGACTGGAATTTTGAGCTCCTTTCGGCATCTTTTACTGAGAGAGATGTCAAGTGTATAATGGCTATCCCCTTAAGCCCTCGTAGCCCTGACGATATGCTTACTTGGGCATTCTCTATGGATGGTATTTATTCAGTAAAGACGACCTATATGCTGGGGAAATCGTGCGATTTTGACGCTTTTCACCACGTCTGGATGCTTATTTGGAGCCTCGATACCATTCCAAAGGTTAAACATTTTCTGTGGCGTGTATGCACCAACTCTCTCCCTACTTTCTCCCTGCTGCATTATAGGCATATGACAAATTCGGACTCCTGCCCATGGTGTCCTGGCATCGCTGAAACGCTACATCATGCTCTATTTAGTTACCCTGCTGTACAAGACCTCTGGCATGAATGCAATTGCTCTGAGCTTATTGTTGACAGCCTGAATTTTGACTTCAGAGATACTCTGGTCGATTGGGTGAAAATTGGTGCAAAGAAGAGTCTTGTTGGGGTTGCGCTTTTGTGGCAGATTTGGTACCGCAGGAACCAGAAAGTTTTTAACAACAATGATGTGCCACATTTAGTTGTTAAAGACAGAGTCACACGTTTGGTTGATGACTTTGGTAATTATGCTATGAAAATCTATGGGACTGTAAAGAGCAAACGGTGCAAGAGTTCAAAGAAGTGGCAGCCACCTCCTCACGACTCCATCAAAATTAATTGTGATGCATCTTTGAAGGACAATGGGTGGATTGGTCTCGGAGCAGTGGCTAGAGACGCTTCAGGTGAAGTATTATTTGCTGGAGTTCGCAGAAATCGGGGCTATTGGCCACCTGAGGTGGCTGAATGCAAGGCTCTGCATCTTGGGGTGAAGCTTGCGCAACGTTATGGTTATAAAAAGGTGATTATGGAGTCCGATTGTCAACTTGTTGTGATCCGTCTCTCGAAGGCTGCTACATTCTTCTCTGATCTTGACTTAGTACTTGATGATATTTTCTTTATTAGCTCTAATTTTGATTTTGTTACTTGGTCGCATGTTCGAAGGGATGGGAACTATGTTGCTCATCACCTTGCTAGTTTAGTACCTTTTGGTGTCGAACAAGATTGGGAGAATTATTGCCCTCCTGTAATTTCTCCTTATGTTCTAATGGACAAATTGTCCATTAATTAATAAAATTGGTACTAAAAGTGTTTCAAAAAAAAAAAAAAAAACTTATAAAGACCCGCCCCATTTATTTATCAGACGGATCTAACCCATATTATAACTATGGCGGGTCATGGCTTTTAAAGGCCTCCGTTCCTATTTCCTACCTCTCTCAGACTCTCAGTTACGTTGAAGCGCACTCAACGTTCTCCATTGAAGCGTTCTCCGTTGAATCTTATCCTTTTATCCCATTCCCCCATTAAAGCAGCTTCTAAGGTAAGTTGTTTTTTGTTGTCATCATCATATCAATTTCACAATCTAGAGTTTATATTTGATCTAATCTAATTTAATGATCAGTGCTTTAATTTTAGGGTTCGTAAATTCTTAGATTATGAAATATAAAATCCAAAAGATAAGAAATTTATGACCGTAATTTGATTATTGAATCAAATATCCCTAAAATTATGTATTTTTCGAGATAATTCAATATGAAATCAAATCTCTTTACCCTGGGCCTAGGGCGGCTGCCCCTCCTACCCTGCCTCAGGGACGGGCCTGGGTTATTCTAATGTGGATTATATGAGCACCTAATCAACAGAGATTTTCTTCCTCTTTGTTGTCTTTGCTGTCGAATCACATACAAAGCTTTACAAATGTAATTTTTATAATAGGTTGTGAGTTTTCCTTAGCAATGGATGCGGCACCGGAAGCGAACGTCACGGTGACAATGAGAGAGCAAGGGATGGTGGAGTCTAAAGTCTTTAGCATCTACCAACATTTCAATGATCTCCCCAGGAGAGCTCAAACTGTCATGTATTCTTTGCTATTTTTTTTTTCTTATGGAGTATATACATATATATATGTATATATACATATATATATGTATATATATACATATATGTATATATATATACATATATGTATATATGTATACATATATATGTATATATGTATACATATATGTATACATATATACATATATATATGTATATATATATATATATGTATATATATACATATATATATATATATATATATATATATATATATATATATATATATATATATTTTGTTATGATTCTCAATTGATTATTGCCTCTTTTTTCAGGATGGAAATCGCGAGTGATAAGCACGCCGAGTATCTCACCAATGGCCTTAAATGGCTTCCTGCTTCGTTCTGTGTTCTTGATGCCAAGTGTGTTTTTTTTTTCCCCTTGATACTTATGCACTTTTAAGTTTTAATTTTATGTTTAGATAGGTACGGACTACGGAGTAAGAGTAAGATAAGTTATGTTAATACTTCAGGATATGGTCTTGTTTTTTAAGTAACGGTTGAGGTTTGATGAAATATGGCTGTTTGGCTAAGCACTCCATAGTGTTTAAGGTGGTGGTTAGTCGTACAAGTTGTGTTTAAACTTTTCTTGTTATTGTTAAAGTGGCAGTGCTGCTATTTTTGTAGTATCAAAATTGAACTGGAAAACAAAAATCACTAGAAACTTAGTCTTGGTCCTTCAACTAAGTTTCCTCCCTTTGCAAAATAGTAGGTATAAAAATTGAAAAGAAAGGTACCCATGGAAAGAAGTACGATTTGGGTATAGGTGCCATTGAATAGGAGTCATATGGCAAGTAGAAGATAATGGCCAATCTCCATAATTGGTTTTACTTTACATTGGAAAATTTTTCCACAAAATAATTATCATAATGTAAATTCTCAGTTAAAGTACATGGAGGATGAAAGTTAACGTACCATAATAAAAGTAACAGACATATATTACGAAGTATACAAATTCAACTTCTAATCTGCCTGACACTCATATTTTGAACTGCTAGTTTTATAGCTAACAGTCACCACTCACCAGCTAGTATAACCTACTCTTGTAGCTTAAAAAACCACAACTGCTAATTTAAAGACTGATGCCGAAATGGTTAATGTCTATGATCTTAGGAGCTACTAGAACGAACTGACAAAATAAGCAAAACCAACAACGTATTATAGACTACAGAGTATCGCTTACAGTGAAAAATCTATGAGAACTAACTCATACCTTCATCATCCTTCTCCCACATCCCACAATCTCATCCAATGGCGCCACCTATGGAAAGTTTTGAAAGATGATACCTTTGTTGTGCAGTCGACCATGGCTTTGCTATTGGATCCTTCATTCACTTGCTCTTTTGGGTGAATCTTTTGATGACAACTTGGAACATGATGTTGTTGCTTTTCTCAGTCAGTGCCAGGTTTGGTTTCATTTCATTTCATTCTTGTTCATTCAATTTGTTACATAGTTTGGGGGAACTTTTTAACTGATAATGGTGGTGTGACTTAACAAATTGTAACTTTTCAAAAACAGTTTACAATTTATGCAAGGTTTACTTTTTCACAAGTTTTTGACTTTTCGTATTACTATTGTTTTTGTTGGTTTTTTTTTTCTTAGATTATTCCTAGGTTATTATGGACTACAAACTCATTGCTTTAAAATTCGATATGAACATTTGAGCCAAGCTAGGCCTTTTTTTTTTCGTGGCCTCATATTGGAGATATGTGTATCTTATAATATGGATTGATGTGATGTAACAAAGACACACATGTTTCATAGATGATTTGCTGTTATTTCTTTTCTTAGGAGGATATTGCGGTTTAGTTTTGATCGAAGTTCAGAACGCATATCTTTAAGTTTAGGAAAGGATTGGATTATATCACATGCGTTGGTGTCCAAGTGTAGGTTGCGGCTTTGTTTTTCGATGGTATTGTTCTCATAGATATGGAAATTGTCTCATTATGGTTCGGGTCCTTTGTGCTTAGAACCAAAGCATAGAACATACTCCCTTTGTCCCTTTTTTGTTTATCATATACTTCTTTTTGAAATGTCCTTTTGAAGTTCCATTACAATATTTGATAAATTTTACCACTTGTAACTTCACTTGCTCTCTCCACCTCTCTCCTCATCAATCCCACTCGTAAGTTGTAACCCATGTACATACTTTTACTTTGCTTCTTAGAACAGTGAACTTTGCTCTATGGTGAACCTTGTTTGGTAAAGTTAACCACTTGTAACTCCACGTGCTCTCTCTTATCTTTCTCCTCATCAATCCCACTAGCAACCGGCCGTGTGCACAATTTTACTTTGCTTCTTAGAAAACTGAACTTTTCTCTATGGGCAATTAAAAACGGATGGAGGGAGTCTAGTAGTGCATAGTTGGCATGTCCCTACAAGAACATATCAATGGCACAGCACAAGAGGCACACCAGTTGGCCTAGCATGGACTTCATTTTAAAATTTGGCATGAGCTTGTTACGAGCACGATGGGCTTGGTTGGCCTGACTAGTATTCTTCTGTTTTAATTTTAATCGGTTGATTAAAAGTTCAGAAGTTCATAAAGGAGTTGGCACCTTGATTTGCATGGCCCCTTTTTATGGAAGATCAACACGAATTTGGCAGGATACAAATATTGCTTGCCCCTAACCTGGTACTGTTGTACCATGCTATCCAGCTTTGCGTAGTGTATACTGTTCTTTTTTAAATTGAAGATTTGTTATGATAAATTTTTTTAATCCGTTCATGAGCTTACCATTACATTGTAACTTTGGCATTGCCTTGGTTATTAAATGGTGAAACATCCTAAACTTAACTGTCAATCACTCTAATAAAAGCAAAGTGACGAACCTGGTTTCTCTAACTAGGCTCCAATTTACGGCCATGGGTTAGGGGAGAGGGCTGAGAGATATTTATAGTTTTGCCTCCATGTGGAGGAGTCATGGAGAACATGGTTCATCTTATGGTGTTTGGCATCAGTTTATCTAGGAATCTCTTCTTCCGTTCGATTGCTATATAGATTGGTTGGTTGTTTATTTTTTTTTTTTATTTATTTTATTTATTTATTTTTTTATTTTGTACTTACTAGGGTTGGAGATTTTAGATGCTTATGCTGTTGCGGATAGAGTCACCTCAACGCTATCTTCCAAATTTCTTTAGTAGGATCATACATGCATTTCATACTCTCTAAGTAACAATTTTTTGTGCGTTTTTCGCACTTCAGGTATTTGTGGTTAATATCCCATTTAAAATTTCTTTACTTAGGAACTTTCGATTTTAGGAACTTACTGATATAGAAATTTGCTAATGTAACAAGCTCAAACATGGTCTGAGTTAATGTACATGGTCAAACATAGCAGTGAAGGTGGGAGCATGGGTAAATATCAAGTTGGATTAGACTTTAAAAACTTATAGTTGAATTTCATATCCTTGAGTCACTAGAATCGTAGTTAGTTTAAAATTTTGTTAAAGTGAGTTCTTATCTTGTTGAATTCGGAATAGATATGATTAGTTTTAGTGTTGGAATAAGGAACAAATCCTAGGCTTACTAGGAGTTTGTTATACTTGAATGGTTTTTGATAAGCTTATGCCATCTCAGTTTAAGACAATAGATCATATACAACTGCAACTTGTATGAACCCTCTGACCATGAGTTTTAAGATCTATCCAGTTACATGATAAAATTCACAAGTACGCAGACCAAATCCAAAAGTTTCTTATACTATGTGTCTGGAGACCATGGTACTGTGTTTTTTTTTAAACTAGAAAGTATCCTTAAGTTCAATTTAGAATGAGAAAAGTGAGGAAATGTCAATTTTATTTAAGCTGATTGTAAATTTAGGTAGTTCTCCTCTTGCTTTAGGCGTAAAACTAGGAACAACTTGGTTAGATAACATTTTGACACTGCTTAACTCTCATACTAGGAAACATATTGCAATTAATGTTAGAAGCTTTTTGTTATATTTGCTTCTCCTTACCCTCTCATGTTTGTTATTGAAGACGACATTGTAAAGAAGTTTTAGTAACAAGAAGTGTGGTGGATTAAATTATGAAAGGAAAGTGGGAAGTGGAAAATGGCAACCATTGAAGACAATGCAAATAGATAATTCTAATTTGACATAAGTAGAGGGTTTTTTGAGGCTAAAAGATCACAATTTAGATAACGGCCTAGTGCCTCTAAATGTTTGTCTTTCGTGTTTTTTTTAACTTCTAATGTTGCTTTCATGAGTTGAAATTTTGGGTCACCACTTTTGATTTTCATGTGAACCCCAGCTAGTGAGTTAACATAGCAAGTCTTTTGCTGTCTTTCTTTGTTTGGCTGATACTAATTTTATCATTTTTGTTGAATTTGGATGCAGGACCCACATGGTGGATATGGTGGTGGACCAGGACAGGCAAGTATCCTTTTCAAATTGCATATAGCTTATCAATCTATCTTGATCATTTTAATTTGTATCCTTTTTCAACCCAACTAATAGTTATAAAGTCACTGGGCAAATAGTTACAAAATAATGAGCATATAGCTCAAATCTTATGAACATATATACTACTTACATAATTTTGAGCTAAATGTTCAGTTTCTTTGAATTGTTCATAATTTTAAACTACATGCTTATTTTCTTATGAATTGTTCTTATATATTGAACTATACAAATTATATGCTTGTAATATATGAACTGAATGCTTGTAATCTATGAATTAAATTCACAGAATCATAATTTTGAGCTATCAGTTCATACGAAACAACTTGTTTGTTCTGAGGTCGTGAGTGCAGGAGATAATTCTTAGGTATCATCCATATGCAAAAAATTCTTGTGCCAGTGAGTCGTTATGAACTAATATATCTTCAATCAAGAAAAGTCAAGTAACACCCAACTTTGTTATTCCGACTCCATTTTTCCCCAAGTAGCCTTGTCAAAAACTCTCTGAAAAGTTTATGAAATGCTTAAATTAACCTAAGACACACTATCTTGAAATACGTATTTAAGTGAAATCGAAGTGGGAACAGATGATAATTTAATGTGAAATATATGCTTATAAATGCTTTGGAGATCATACGAGGCCTGGAATACTTTTTATGAATGTCTTGTCCTTGCACCCATTAAACTTAGCACGGCCTGCTACAGAAAATATAAACCCTAATGTGTCTAATTCTCGAATAGTTGAACATGTATCCTTTTTAATTTTTTATTCCTAGTGTGCCACCACATTGCAAACAAAATCTTTATCCTCTCTTAAGCAAGCCTGTATTTTATCGTCCTTAAGCCTATCAAAGCTCTTCCCAAACAAGGCTATAACAGTACAAGCACCAAATAGAAAAAAACATGGAATAGAGAGTAAATGATTAATGTAGTTTTCCTCCTTAATGCACAACTCCAATGTCTTGCAATAAAAAACTCTTTCTTAAGAATCCTGAGTCGAGATCGCTCTTTTACAACTGCCCACAGAGAATCAAAATATTTAAGTATGAGTTTTCGAACGACTGTGAGGTTTCTATCACTAACATAAGAGGAGGACTACCTATGTGGATATTTTTTCTTCTAGGAGGAGAAAGTGTTTAATATTATTTTATATTAAACACTTATTATTTTTTTTATTCAGAAAAACAGCTTGTCACTTGCTACATACTACCTCCGTTTTTTTTTAGTCGACACGTATTCCTTTTTAGGAAGTTTTTTTTAGTTGACATGTTTCCTTTTGGAGTAAGTTTTTTACCTTGCATTTACAAGTTACCCCACTTGTTTTATCATTCTCTCTCATTCTCTCTCCTCTCCTTAATATATGTGTCTAAATCAAACGCGTCAACTAAATAGAAACGGAGGAAGTATTTCTCAGTACTCTTCTCTTTTATCTATTTATTTATTAATTAATTTATTTATTTATTCATATGTGTCTATTTACATACGACTGAGTGTCTTAACAATTCCAATTTTCAGATGCCTCATCTGGCAACTACATATGCTTCTGTGAATTCACTTATCACACTGGGAGGGCGCAGTGCATTGTCATCTATTGACAGGTGGCTATTTTACTGAATTAGAACTTTTGTTTCCATTGTTATTATTTCATGCATACACATGAACGAACACCACACACATTCCAAGACATCTAACTTGTGAAATAATTGGCTCGCTAGCGTAAGTGGCCTAAGTGCTTAATTTTTTTTCATACATATGCAATGGGGAAAGACTTTTTTCTTTCACTTCTTTCTTGGAAACCCAAGTATACTCCATAAATTAAGGGTATCTTGGGAACCTGTGACCTAAAGACATGATATCCAATTGTGGAAAAGTGCATTAACTTGTGCACACACTCATGCGCATAGTATCAACATCAGTTATCAAGGATACTAAGACTATATGTTTTATTATGCAGAGATAGATTGTATGCGTTCTTGCAGCGAATGAAGGACCCAGGTGGGTCGTTCAGGTATAGTAACTATTATCTTCTTTCTCAAAAGCTTCTCTGTTCGTTGCTATAAATTATGTCCCACCCCTCTTTTTTTTTATGACAAATATAGTTCGATGGCTATTTTGTTCCTCACCCTCCCCCTTTCGTGGTTCTTTTTCATATTTTTGTCCCACCCTTCCTGTAATGGTTCATCTTTCATATGCAGTTTCATTCCTTTTGCATTTGAGAAAGAACACTTTGTTTGAATAGCAAAGTGCAAGGGAAGGAAGAGGAGGGGGAAGGTGGAGCTCCATTTCACCTCTAAACATCTAATTTTGGAGAGATAGAGCTGTGGGGGGGGGGGGGGGAAGGTGGAGCTACATTTTCCCTCTAATTTTATTTATTTATTTATTATTATTTTTTTCTAATTTTGGAGGGATGGTGTTATAAAGAGGGAGGGGAAATGGTTCCCTCCCATTCTCTCCCCTTCTCCAAAATTACATTCATCCAAACAAAGTGTAATGATTACATGCTTCCATTAGTGTCACAGTGTTTTAATGGCTGGATTTTTTAGGTGATCATTGAGTTAAAATATAGTAAAAATTGGTAAATCTAATCCCAACTTTTGCCTGTTGCTCAAAATAATCTCAACTTTGTATTATTTTTAAATAATTCGAACTTTGGGGGTTATTCGTTTTAAGTGGTCCCAACCGGTCACCCATTGTATCAGGTTATGGGACACATGGCACCACATGATTTTTTTTTTTTAAAAAAATGAAATAAACCCAGCCCTTAGGCCCCCCATCCACAACAACTTCCAGAATAAACGAACTATAAATGCAGGTCCAAGACCGAATCCAAGTCCGGGTTAATAACCCCCGAGTCTGATTCCGATGGATTTTCGAACCTCCAACCTGCCGGACCTTAGAATCCAAATCCGGCAGACTTACACCATAAGCTATAATATCAACAAACAAAAATGTATAAATTTATATTCAACCTTAAAATTTTACAGCAAATACAAAAATATGAGTGTGTATATGAAATCATACATATTGTGAAAAAAAAATTCAAACAAAAAAAGTAAAAAACATCCCAAGTTGGAGATTATTAGAAGGCACCCAAACACAATAATCTTGTAGTGACTTTGATTCTTCAAAATATTATGATAGATATTCTCTTGGATTACAGTGAGAAATTAAGAAATTGAGAGAGGAGAGAGGAGAGAGGAGAGAGAAAGAGTTTAGATTAAAGGAAAATGAGTAAATGAAAGAGGGGTGGCAGCTACACGTGAAAAGTAAGGAAGGAGGGTTGTGAGGGTTTTAATATATGTACAATATTTAAATAAAAAATAAGTGCATGTCTTACTCTTTGTCGGACTCGAGTCAATTGGATCGGACCCTACATAGGATCCGAGTTCGATTCGGCTCCCATTCGTAGTCGGACTTTATTTGGTGGATTCGGATTCGGATTTTTGTATATTAGATTCGGATCAAACTTTTTTCTTTCGATCAGTTCAGATCCGAATCAAATTCGAACTAAATTGCCATCCCAAACTACCACCCACCGTCTGCATATGGAGCCCCTAACCACTGCTGTATACCCTCTCTCACGTCAGCGCCGACTATCAGACTCCCTCCCTCATGGCGATGCCGGTGCTTCCCTCCTCTTCCCCCCTTAAATCACCTAACCTCCACCGCAAAAAAAAAAAAAAAAAAAAAAAAAAAACAAAAAAAAAAACAAACAAACCAAGACAATGTATAACTCGAGCCCCATCGCACAATCCCCCCAATCGGTGCTCCCCCACCCTTGGAGCCTTAGCGCTAGGGTTTCGAGGGTGGGGAGCGCCGATTGGGCGGGGGGGATATGTGGTGGGTTGGTTTTTTTTTTTTTAAAGGGTTTGGGTTTAGACTAGGAGGTTTCACGGTGGAGGGTTTGGTGGTTTAGGGGGAGGGGTAGCACCCGAGTCGGTGCGGTGTGGGGGAGGGGGGGACTGGGCGCAGCGTCGAATAGGGGCGGAGGAGTAGTTGGGCAGTGGGAGAAGGGGGTGCCGGAAAGTTAGGTGGTGGCTTGGTGGGTTTTTTTTTTTTTTTTGTCAAGCATCACATGGTGACACGTGTCAAACAAACAAAAAAAAGAAGTTTACCTCTTTAAAAGGTCACTTAGGTTCGTTTAAAGTGAATAACCCCTAAAGTTCATTATTTAAAAATTATCCAAAGTTGGGATTATTTTGAGTGAACAAGCAAAAGTTGGGATTATTTTTATCGATTTTTCGTAAAATATAAAGGTAAGCTAAAATTTATAGGAGCATTTGAAACTTATTTAAATTATTTGTTTCCAAATCCTACCTAATGTGATTTTAGGTTATTTCTAGTACCATCCCACCTAATATGAGATATATTATTTGATATAAGGTTTCATTTTGTTGTTTAGAACCTAGATTAAAAGTTGTTTTGGGCTATTTTACATGGACTTGACACTTGACTCCTTTGTTTCTGTTTGTGAACACGACATAACCCGGTTCGGGTATGAAAACTGGGGTTAAACCCGACATTGTCCATTCGGACACAGTAGAGAGATAATAGAAAAACTTATTGCAAAATGAAGAGAGAAAGGGAGAAAGGTAAAGACCAAATTGTATGATAATAATAGTTATCACGGTGTGGGGGTAGTTGAAGATGAAAGTTGGGTGGGAGTGTGGGATAACTATTATGTAGTCACATGTTGACTTTGGTATCTTTTAGGAATTGAAATTCATTTTTATAACTTCTAATTTAGACGCTAGTTCATTTTTTTTTTTATTGGAAATTGAAGATATTTTAGTTTTTACACACTATAAGCCTATAACTTATTGAATTTTAATTTTTTGATGGATAAAACTAAATGAATTAAGTCTGCATCTTTATTGTCAAATTGCCTTTGTAAAAAAATTCTTAGAAGTAAAGATTTTTGTTGTGCTCCTTTATCCGTGTCCAAATCTCGAATAGAGATCCCGTGCTCTAAAGGATTGATTTATTGGACACTATTAGATCCTCCTATCCAAGTTCATGTAAAATAGGTCTCGGCTTTTAAGTTATATGTTGTTGTCCCTCTAGATATTGGACTATGAACTATAGGGGAATGCTTACCGTTGTAAAAATCCGATTTGGAATGAAAAAAGAGTTTATCCACTTGATTACCTTGTTAGATCCTTCTTTTTTGGAACATCCTTTATTTTGCTGGTTCTTTCTCGACTCCATTAATGTCTACCATCTGCATTGGTTAGTGAGCCTAGCTCTTGAATCAAGGGCTTTACGGTCATTGTAAATATCTACCATCTCCATTAATATCTACCAACTTTGTAAATAAGAATAACATGAGAAAGCGAAAAATGTGTAGTCAAAGAGGCACAAGGATGGTGACAATGTGACATTCTTGTAGGAATGTTGGAATTGTTATTTAAAATTTTCTCTTGTAATCGATATTTTATGTAGCATGCTTAGTTGTCTTTTGCCTTTTCAGAATGCATGAAAAGGGGGAAATTGATGTTAGAGCGTGCTACACTGCAATTTCTGTAAGATTTATCTTATTTTGCAATTTGACCTACGTTGCTTTTTCATTATGTGATTTAATATACAAGTATCTTTATCTTATTATTGAGAACCTAAAGTCAAGTGTTAAGACCCTCTCCAATGGTGAGATTCAAGTGAGTATTTTTAGGAGAGAGAGAGTATTTTTTGCAATGTATACCAATAGTTGGGATCTAAACTTAGCAACTCCAAAAGAAAGTTGCTAAGTTTAGATACTCAACTTTGAGTCTCATTTGACAAAAAGTGTGGGCCATTGTCAATATTCTAATATATTTTGTAATTTATTTAAGTTTTACCTTTTTTTTATTATTTTTTAACCTTACAATAATTGATGGGTCATAAATTGAAAGTGACATTTGTATATTTTAAGAGAGTCTCACCATTGAGAAATTAGACTTTACATGAGTTGTTAAATTGAGAAGTGGGTATGGTGTCACCATTGGAGGTAAAAAAACAACTCATTTTGTATTTCAATACTCAAATTTGAGTCTCGCCATTGGAGATGGTCTAACTTAAATGATTGTTGGTTGAATGTGGGAATATTATTGTCCACTACTTGGGTATTAGGAATTCTATTTTTCATTTGTGATCATAGGCTATCTCAAAATGCATTAGAAGGTTAATTTATGCTTCTCACATTCGCTATTTGGTGGCTAATTTGGTATTAATAGATGGTTGTTATACTCTATTTTGAAAAGATGGGATCATTAATTTGTTTTAAGATGTGAGAACTTATATCTTATTTAAGAATAGTTTATGAGATAACTATGGAATTTCTTGTGAGATAACAACTTCAATTGTCTCTTATTGTTGCAGCCCATGTTACCTACCTCAATTGTTCAAACTTTAGGAATAGATATAATTGCCAATATTTAGGTTCAGTTCTTTCATTTATGAAGTTGGGAAACACTTTTGAATTGGGGAGTTACATATTAGCTTTATCTTATAAGATAACGGTTTCAATTGTTTCTTATTATTGCAGCCTATGTTACCTTCATCAATTGTTTAAATTTTAAGAATATACATCATAATTACTGTAATTTAGGTTTAATTCTTTCGTTTATAAAATTTGGAAACACTTTTGGATGGGGGAGTAAAATATTAGCTTGTAAGAGGAGAACTGGAGTGTCTTATAAGATATTCTGATTGCAAAGTGATGAAGCAAAGAGTCCTAAATACTCCATAATTACAAATGATTAATCAATCAATCAAAGCTTTAGTCCCATAATTACAAATGTTCAAGTGGCATGTAAATGGATGGTTGATGTTTTAGTTGAATCATCCAATGAATGCAGGTAAGGAAAGCTAAGAGGTATACCTCATCATTGGAATCAAGGCTTTGTAATTGTTTTTATTGATGCTATCTACCTTGATAAAAAGTAGTTTCTTCACCATGCCTGGATTATCATCGTGATTTCGTCTGTGTCTAATAAATTCTTTTCCTTCCAAGGTTGCAAGTATTTTGAACATCTTGGATCACGAATTGGTGCAAAATGTCGGGGATTACATTATGAGGTTTGTTGCATCTGGCTTTTGTTTTGTTTATTTTCAAGTTATTTCTGAGTTCATTCCTGTTTCCTCTTTAAATGATTAAAGATTGGTATATACATTAATAAACAAATTGTGGCAGACTACATTAACTTTTCTTGATGTGGTGTGGATGTTTCTCCAGTTGTCAGACATATGAAGGTGGCATTGCTGGTGAGCCTGGTTCAGAAGCCCATGGAGGGTAAAGTACTATTAATGACTATATGTTGTTGATTTTAACTCTGCTGTTTTTCCCCTTGTTCCTTGTGCTTGATATGACATAATGTATTTTGGCTTGCAATAGGTATACCTTTTGTGGATTGGCCACAATGATTCTTATCAACGAGGTTCATCGATTGGACTTGCCTGCTCTAATTGTAAGAATAATTCATATTAAATCTATTTTTTTTTATCTTCCTCCCGTTGGTGAACAAAAGGAGGAAGATACTGCCTTTTCCCTTTGAAATATTATTTTGATTAACGCTTTGTTTGGATAGCAAAGAAGGAAAGAAAAGAAGGGGAGGGATAATGGAGGAAGGGAAGGGAAAAGAAAGGGAGGGGGGAGGTGAGCTCCATTTTCCCTCCAAATCTCTCCAATTTTGGAGAGATTATGGTTATTATAGAGAGAGGGAAAATAGATCCCTCCCTCTCCTTCCCCTTCCTTCCCCCAATCTTTTACCCAAACAAGAGATTTTGTCCCTCTCCATTTCTCTTCTCTTCTTTTCCTTCCATTTCTTCCTATCCAAACAAAGTGTAAATATCTTAAAAACAAAAGTATCCTTTTACAATTTAATATGTACGATTCAAAAGTTATCATGATGAAGACGCAAACTTGAGGCCTATGTCATTGGATAGAAAGTTTGTGTATTTTGGGAGAAAAATAATGAGTGGTTTATCTTTTTTTGTTGGTTGGACAGTCTTTTAATTTTGTTTCCTCTCTTAAATTTATTCCTCATTCCCTATTTTTTTGGAGAAAATAAAAATTAATTTTTATGACTGACAAATTTTGTCAATCTAGTGGCAAAATTGTAAATAAGCGTATTTTTTTTTATTGTTCATGGACAAAACCGCTACTTGAATTAGCGGTTTTAGGGTATAACCGCTACCTTAAGTAGAGGTTTTGCCCATGAACAGTAAAAAGTGCACCGATTTACAATATTGCCTCTAGATTGACGAATTTTGTCAATCATAAAGACTAACTGGGTTTGCCTTTTTTTTTTTTTAATTTTTTTTATCTCCTTTGAACTACCTTACTTTATTCTATGCTCTATATTTTCCCGAAACTAGTTGGGATATGTTGCAGCAATGTTTTAATTTTTTTTATTATTGAAAAAATAAGAGAAATCAAGATATTTGATCAAATCTTATAGAGGATACGCATGTGCTGAAAATAAAATAAACTGTACGTTTTTTTTTCAGCCAAGTGTTGTGATCTTTAGTATGTAACTCATGTATTTAGTGCTGATTTAATGAATCTCAAACCAGAATTGGGTTGTATTTCGTCAAGGAGTTGAGGGTGGATTTCAGGGGAGGACAAACAAATTGGTGGATGGTTGTTATTCCTTTTGGCAGGTGATGTTTTATATGTTGATCTGTCTTTTTTTTTATTTATTTATTTTTTTCATACAAGGAACTGACATGTATTATCTGGTTCAAGGGAGGTATCTTTCCACTAATTCAAAGGTTGCTGCAAATTATTGAGAAGCAGCTGGGTATGATGTCAAATGGTTCTTCCAAAAGAAATCTTAACTTACCTGAGGAAATATGTCAAATGGATAGTAGCCACATTGGACTAAAAAGTGAGGATATTACTGGGTTTGTTTGTTTGTTTTGTTTTGTTCTGTTTTTTTTTTTTTTTTTTTTTTTTTTTTTTTTTTTTTTTTTTTTTGGGTCACATATATAATCTTTTTGTACTATCATTTCTGAAAGTTCTTGAAACCGCTCTTTCACTATAATCCATTTTTGGCAAACCCCTATTACTTACCTTATCCCTCTTTACACTTGAATATTATCACCTTTCTACTCACTCTCTTCTTTATCTACATTTTTTCCCTTAACCCCTCCCCCCCACCATTTTACACACACATTATTTACCTTTTTTTTTTTTAAAAAAAAAAAAAAAACACTAACTCACTCTTTCTTTCCAATCTATATGTAATATAAGCGAGTCTGGTTGCTCATTTTTTAGAAGTTCTTGGGTTCAGTACTTTTGCTCTCAAGCCTGAATTTGATACATGCCTCACATAGGCATATGTTTAAAGCCCATATATATGTGTAATTCTTGAATTAGAATTAGTTTAGGAATTTTTTCGTAGTCAGTAGGCTTTCCTTAAACTTGCTGTAGACGCTCGTTATTCTAATTATAAGCATGTAAGATTAAACTGGTGGTTTTATATCTGCAGGCCTACAAGATGTTCCTGATGTTGCTAATTTGTCTGACATCGGTTTTGAATTTGTCAAACGTTCAGTCAATATTGGACCCCTCTTTCACAACTTCGCTTTGCAGCAATATATAATTCTTTGTTCTCAGGTAGTTTTTAAATTGGGGAATTTCTTGATACGGTTTAATCAATGATTTTATTTTTAAGTCGTTGCTGTAGGTACTAGAGCATGGTTGCCTGGTATTGGGATATATTTTTTAGCATTTATGGTAAAATAAGGAGTATAATATTTTTGATTCACAACTCATAGAAGTAGAGTAACTTCCATATATTCAAACATTATAACCTTTTTTTTTTCCCTCTTTGGGCCTTCCATAAATAGTCTTTCTCTTGTGCTAAAGGCTATTACAGGTGAGATTGCAGACATTGCTCAAGGCAGGATTATTGGGTTATTATTTTTGCACTGCATAAATCACTCCATCTATTACGCAAGTCCATCTATGTATCACAAAATCTAGTTACGTAAAGTTTATGGTATTAAAAGTCACAACGTGTCAACTTAAAATATTTAGTATAGCTAAAAAAGAAAATCACTGTGTGAATTAGGAATGGAACATGAAGGTTATGATGCATTTAATGAGAATTTAAGGTGCATCTAATTGACATGGAGAGGTTAAGTGCATGTCACCTATATGAACAAAAGTTCTAACTTGAGCTCACCCACTTGGAATTTTGGGCTGCCTCTCACTTGTTTGAGGTAGCTGCATATAATTAGTTTTATATCTGTGTATTAAATCAGTGGAGAATTTTGCAGCTGATGCTTTTATGTTGATCAAGGTTGTGTCAATGTGTCATGATGGTAGATAGAAGACATATATTTTGATAATGTGAAATAGTTTTGTTGAAACCACATCCATCTGAAAATCATCAATTGATCTAGTGATTTGGTAAAGCTACCTTCTTTTCCCACTCCTCCGGGAGATGGAAAACAGGGGAAAGGAAGAAGTGATAATATGCCTGCTTTTCATGTTTGTTATTTATTAAGATATTTTTAACTACCTTTAACCCCTTTGATCATCTTAAACTTTTCACAGACGTGGCATAATTAATTGTTGAAGCGATTTTTTCTATTTTTTCCCTCAAATAAGTGAATGTGATTAATTGGTGCAGATTATGGATGGAGGATTTAGAGACAAGCCTGGAAAGAGCAGAGACTTCTACCACACATGTTATTGTTTAAGTGGTCTCTCAGTGTGCCAGTATATCAGTTTGAAGGATGCTGACTCTTTGCGTACGGCGCAGGAAGTGCTTGGTCCATATTCAAATCTCTTGGAACCAATACACCCTTTGTATAATGTTGTCCTTGACCGTTACTACAATGTTCAAGAGTTCTTCTCACAATTGTAGAGTATCAAGTGATTATCTTCTGAATATTAGAAGCCATGGAGATAAGAGGAGCGAGGGAGAGAGGTTTATTGCAAAATAGTTTTAGTTCATGTATAACTAGGCGCAACCCAGTGATCTAATTGTAAGTTGTTTGTATATTTTGATGAATTGATGCGTATGGTTATTTACCAAATGCTTGGTGCAAAGTTGTTTTAGCCTTTTAGGGGTATTTTAAGTTATTGAAAATATAGGGTATCTGATAGACCAATACCCAAGATTGGATTAGAGTGTCCACTATATGAAAGAGAATGGTGAATTTAACCCAATTGAGAATGTTAGACCAAATTACTATTTAACAACAACAATGATCTGGTTTTCACAATCTGGTACTGACAGAAGGTTTTATGGCTATGACTTCAAAGTTTATAAGTATTTATTTTGACAATAATGTTTATAAGTATTTGATTAACTAGATTTGCTTAAATGACTTAGTGTGGCACCTGGCACTATTTATTATTTTACTGCCCATAACAAAAATAAATTAATATTTATTGCCCATAACAAAAATAAATTAATATTTGTCTAACCATGCTTATTAGGAGGTGTTCTATTTTTATGTAGAGTAAAATGAATCTGAAATGCAAAATGAAACCCTGATTATATGAGGTTGGAACATGAATCTGAAAACATGTTTATTTGTTATTAATTTTGAGGCTTCCCGGACACAATGTTTGGGGGGTTCATAGGCCTCCAGTGAAGTTGGATCTCATCTCACTTGAGGAGGATAGACCAATTGTACCCTTTTGAATGGCACCTGAGTCACATGGAATTGTGACTCAAATTGTAGTATTGAGCCAAGAATCCCTCTTGACTATTCTAAATTTGGGTCATAGGGATTGCTCAATTTGTGAGCATTTAGTCTTGCTCATAAGGTTTTCTCAATCAGGCCAAGGATTTTCGTTCCTTTTGCTACTTCCTTCCTTTGTCAAGCTCTATAGGTGTATAAGGGTTTTATCTCAAGCTTTCTGCCCTAGCTTTCACTTCCTCCTATAACATTGCAACCTTCAGATGTTATGGGTTGATGACAATGCAATGCACAAGTATAATTTGTTTTGACAGGTCTTAATGGTTTCGTTCGTGGATTCCATCTAACATCCAAGGGCTCCATCAAGCGCACATTACCAAGTTATATGCTTTTGTTTTTCATGTGTTTTGTCCAAGATAGTAACGAGTTTTTAGTGTATCTTGTACTTTACTTTCTTGTATTTAGTATATGAAGTCTTTGAAAAAAAAAATCTTTAATTTGATACCTGAATGTTTGTTATGAGCTATACCCAACCTATACCGAGTTATGAAAAATTTAAATCCATACTGTATTTGGAAACCTTGAGGGGGTGTTTGGTCCACATGCATACTTAAGGCATAATGTATTTGTTTATAATTGTTTAAACCCAAATTTTATGTTTGTTTTATGATTTTAAGAGTGGTTTAAACCCAAATCTTATGTTTGTTTTATGATTTTAAGAGTTGCAAACCCATACCTCAAACCCCCAAAGTATGGGGTTTAGAAACCTAGGGGGAGGTGGGTTTGGCCTAGGGTCTATTCTGATTTACTAAGCTGAACTCAACTGAACTGATTGGAGGTGAGCTGAACTAAACTTAGTAGAGCTGAAATGAATTGTTTATTAGAACTGAACTAAAATTAGGTACTGAACTAAACCAAACTGATTGGAGCTCAAATGAACTGAACTGAAATTAAGATGAAGAGAACAGACCCTTATTCCCATACTTTTAGCCTTTAGGTATCAAATAAAAGAAAAAAATTGCATTCCACAACCATATCAAATATATAGTATTAAGAATCAAGTTCTAAGCCCATACCACTATGGTTTCATTACTGATTCCAAACCATACCAGTTTGAATTGAAAGAAAGCAATTTTAGAATTCGAATTCTTGAAATTTCAATTCCAAAATATCGTATTTGGGAAATTCTAGAATCTGTATACTAGAATTTTCAAATAGAAAACAAAAATACATGAATATTTTGGTCAATTTTTTTGGAAAAGTGATGAACCCTAACTTTAGAATTCCAAAAACCAAAAAAAAAAAAACTCTAAAACAAAGCCCTAATACAATAGCAATAACAACGCGTGTTATGAATCACTCTTATTATTTCATAATCTCCAATAATTTCAAATGATTAACTAGGGCTAGAAATTGTTTAGGAAAAGAGGGAAAATGTAGTATATATAAGAAAATGAGAGAGATTAGGGTATTTTTCTTAGAATTTCTTTCGTGACTAATTTTTTTTTTTATTTTTTGTTGTTATTTTATGTCTAAACAAGACCACTAGTTATAAATGTAGGGATCTAGTATTAGTGTCAAGTTAGCTTGGTTAGTAGAACTTTGAGTCACGCTGACATGGTTACCACAATATGTTGCACTCTATTTTCAAGGGTTAAAATTGTTGTTTTTCAAACTTCCATAATTTTTTATCCCGTTCTCAGAAAAAAGGAAAAATAAATAATACATTGTTGAAAAGCTCTTGAAGTATACCTTCCAATGCAATTATAATTAGGTCAAAATTGATAGAATTAAATTATGAGAAAGAGAATGTTGGAAAGTTTGATTGTATTGAAGAGTATACAAGAGCATTTATTGTACGTACATAAATAACCAATAAACTATGACAAGATACATTAAAGTATATGTCTAGGTACATTAGACAATAGTTAGGGAGAACTTTGAAAATCAACCTAATTGTGTAAATCAAGGGATATTAATATTGCTAATATCATTATCCTTTACAAGCACTCGCAAGACGGAGATCTGGAACGAGAAATCGATCTTGGATATAATAACACAAATCGATCTTGGTCAATGTACGAATTGGAGTGTAGTTGGTGAGAAGGGTTGTATTGCATTGTCGTTCTCCGAGAGGGTTTGGAGAGAGTTTAGGTTTTTTTTCAAAAGCATAGAGAACTAGGAGTTGCGTAATGGGTGTTTTTCACAGTTGTTGTGACATGCGAACCATTGACTGCAATATTAAAATGAATAATTTTTGCTAGCATGTGCTTGCAACGTATGGGAGTAGAATAAAAATATAGGGTTTCCTTCACAACTATTGAAGGTGAGATAGAAAAAAAAATGTAATAGTGTTGATGGTGGTTTTGAAAAGAAAGAATGCTATGTTTCTCCATAATGGTTTTGCAGAGAGAATTTCATGTTTAACAACACTTGGTAGGTAAACTACGGGATGCCGAAAATGGATTGTTTCTCTGTAAGGGGTTTGGAGAAAGAAAAAAAAATAATAATTGACATATCTTGGTACATGAAATACGAGGTGCTAAAAAAGTTGATCTAAAAGTGTGATTTTGGTTGAAGCTTTCTGAGAAGGAAGTTTGGTATATGGTCACCATCATTTGTCGGCATCAACAAAGGGTTTTGACAATGTATCCATGGTAGTAGCAGAAGCAAGAAAAGATGGATCAAAAGCTCATGATATCATGATAGAGTTATGAAAAAAGAATGCTGGAAAGGTTGATTATATTGAAGAGTATACAAGAGCATTTGATGTACATAAAAAAGTAATAGTCTATGACTGGATACATTAGTGTATATGTCTAGGTACATTAGAAATAGTTAGGGAAAACTTTGACTATCAATCTAATTGTGTAAATCAAATAGTAAATCATGAAAAAATGATGTCGCTAATATCATTATCCTTTACAAAATTATTTTTTGACTTTTGATATATATATCCGAAATGGTGAAATAGTTTCGGTTTTGGGCCTAGTTTAGAATTTTTTTCACATCTCCTTTTTTATTTATTTTTTTATTTTATAATTAAAAAAAAAGCTAATTTGAGATTCATAATATATCATTAGAAATTTTACTAAAAAAGCTATCCATGTATATAGGTCTTACACAAAAATTACAAGGTTTGGACATTCATTTGTATTGTTTTTTTTTTATTTTTATTTTTTTTATTTTACCATGAAATGAAATACCTATTTGACCTAAGCACCTCTTTTGAAGAATTTTGGTATATTATTAATTAGGATTTAAACACGTGTTCGCATTTTATAATAAGAGGATCTAGATTTATAAAAGGTTTTTGCTCAAAAAGAGGATTCAGATCATCTTATATTACATTTGAAATTCATACACTCCAGTTTTAATCTAGGTGCAAAAGTAAATTTTCATCTTATCATTACACATTTACACTTTTGTTTCAGGACAATTTACCAAAAGTAGATGTCTATACTCTATAGATCATATGATTTGATGTGTATATGTTGAATTGGATATTAGCAACTCGATCTGATTTGTTTGCTTTTAGGGATTGAATTTGTTGTTGTTGATTGTAAGTTCCAAATATATCAATTAATTAACTGATTTTTTTTAATTAACTGTATACTTAATCAAACTATGTCAATTACTCTAAACTAATTTATTTAATTTTCAGGTTTACATGGCTAGAAGATTAACCTTATTATTTGAAAAAATTTAACAAATAAATTAATCTAGCCATACACATTATAAACTTCAAGAATAACATGGACAATTAAATTAAAAGATATTTATACGTGGAGTATATTTGGATTGTAATAAGGGAGTGTTTGTTTAGGGTTACAAAAAAGAAAGGATTATAGATACAAAGATAAAATGTTAGGGATAGAGGAAATCTAGTGTATTTTTAGGGGATGAGGATACAATAAAAAAGCACATTATTTCTCCATTTATGTACGAGAATTATCAGAATCAATACTACATACTAAAAGTGAGATTGGAAGCGACACATGTCATCTCCTGGTTAACTTTTTTTCCTCCAATATGACCTTTTTTTTATTTTTTTAAAAAACCTACTTTAAAGCTATGGTATATTTACATAATTCTGTACCTTTATGATAAAGATTTATAAATCATGACAAACTTATATAAGGTAATATCTTTAAAAAACTTATATACGGTAATATATATTAAAATAATATGATTAACTAGGATTTTTATAATATTTTTTTTAGTCATAAAATTCAAGTTGATTTATTTTTATATAAAACTACTATTCTTCATTACTTCGCATAAATTATTTTATGTATAAACATATAGTATTATATATTTTGGCAAAGATCGTGTGTTGCACGACTCTAAGCTAGTAAGTGATAAAAAAGGAGTTTTAAAAGATTAAAATATTAAAAACTGTCATCCTTTAATGAAATAAAAGACTAAGGGTGTGTTCTATTCACCTAATTTAATTAAAAATTATTAGGAAAAATTGCCCGCAATAAACGGACCTTTTGCCTGTCCGCTGAAAATAATCCCACCGGATTATTTTTTAATAATCCCACCTTTACCCCTAATCTGCTTCCAATGGTCCC